TGGGATGACTCAGCGTGTCTGACGTCAGCAACTCCACCACCACCAGCAGCAACAACGTTTTTTCCGCCGGCCGCTCTTGCATGTCCTCCGCACCCGTTCCCCCCTCACCGTTCCCCCCTTCACCGCTACTCCCCCCACCCCTCCCCGCTCCACCAACCGCCCTCCGCTCCGCGTCCGTGCGCGGCCTGTGCCCCCGCCGCTGCCGCTTTCCGCACACTCAACGCTCCATCCGCGCTTCCCTGCGCGTCCCTCTCGTTACACTCACCTCCGCAAGGTTCCCCCGAGCCCCCTTCAGTTCCCCCGAACCCCCGCGCGGATGCATCCTTCTCGTCCGCGGACTTGGCGCCGCCGCAGCGCCCTGGAGCTCTCCCCTGTGTTCCCGCTCTTCTTCCGCCTCCGCGCTTTGCGCCACCACTTGCGCCACCGCTTGCGCCGATTCCGCCGTCCGCGGGAGGCATGTTTGAGAACCAGCGCATATCGCCCCTGGCGCATCACATAGCGCAGCAAGTGCCGCAGCCCTTCCCCCAGACCCCCTTCCGCAGATCGCCCACTCTCCCCTCGTCCTGGGACCTTCCCCCATTCTCCAAGCGCCCGCGCGTTGCGGTGGGGTTGGGAGGGGGAACCGGGTGGGCGGAAGTTAAGGGGCGAGCGCAGGGGGAAGGGCATGCGGAAGGCATGTGCGCGGAAGACGAGGCGGAGAGGGAGGGAGAGGATGGGAGTGCTCTGGGGGGACAGAAAGGAGGCACGTGGGGGGAGTGTGATTTGGGGGAAGAGAGGGAGGGGGAAGTGGGAGCGGGGAGGGAGGTGCAATTGGGAGGGCGAGGGGAGGGGGAAGGAGAGGAGGAGCAGAAAGAGCGTTGGATGAATCAGGTCAAAGCTCCATTGCTCGTGGCTTCCAATGCTTCATATGCCGCTGCTGCAGCGCCAATAACAGCAGCAGCAGCAGCAGTAGCAGCACTAACGGCAGCAGCGCCAGTGGCGGTAGCGAATTCTCCTGAGGCTGGTGTGAGAGTGGCAGGAGGTGCGGTTGGCAGCAGACGCAGCTTCTATAGCCGTTGCAGCAGCAGCGGTAGCAGCAGGCGAATCAGCAGTGCCGTTGGCAGCTGTGGAAGCGGTGAGGCATGTGGCAAGAAAGCAAGTCACGCGCATGTAGATGGCACGTCAGCCGCAACAGCAATGGCGACAGTAGACCCTGCAGCAGCAGCAACTTCAGCAGGAGAAAGAGGAGGAGAAGGAGGAGCAGCGATGATAGAACGAGCAGCAACAGCAGGGGTCGGAAGCACGTGTGCGTCGTGTTGTGCTGGGTCAGGCCCCGCCTGCACAGGATGCTGCGGCAGTGGCAGTGGCAGCAGAGGCTTAGCGAAACGGCCAGGCGATATAGAATCGTCTGGGACGGTGAATAGCTTGGTGGTCGGGCATGTTAGTAGCAGAGAAGAACAAGAAGCAGCGGGAGAAGGGGCGGGTGCAGTTAGATTTGTGGCTGCAGCAGCAGCTGCAACAGCAGATGCTGCAGCAAATGCAGCGGGCGTGAGGGTCGGTGCAGGAAAGGCCCAGTTGCCTTCCGATTTCCTCTTTCTGCCTCGCCGTGGTGCCTCACTCCCCCATCCGGCTGCCATAGCTGCTGCGGCAGCAGCAGCAGCAGCAGCAGCAGCATCTGGCCGTGTGGAGAGTGTTGGTGGGTGCATGAGCATGCGTCAGGGCGGATGTGCGGGTGTGAGTGCACGTGATGCCTCCGCTGCAGCAGCGCTTGAATGTGATGGCTCCCTGTCCAGGGGCGAGCAGAAGAGGCATGGGGGAGGGGGTGATGAGGGTAGCTCCGGTCCGGCTCTGGCTTTAACAGGAGGAGGGAGAGAGAGAGGAGGAGGAGAGTGGGAAGGAGGAGGGAGGGGAGACGCGGACGGAGCAGAGCAGCGATTAACAGGGAAGCGAGTGAAGAGGAGAGAGATGGGAAGGATGTTGTTTACTCAGGAGGAGGAGCAGCAGGTACAGCTGCAAGAGCACCATCACAGCCAGCAGCCACAGCAGGCTCGTGTGAAGTGCAGAAATTACTTTGCACGCTGGGAGCACCTTATTGGAAGAGTGGAGGAGGAGGATGAGGAAGAGGAGGAGGAGGAGGGTGGGGATGATGACAAGTCCATGGGTGACCCTCGGGAATCTCCCAAGTTTGTCCTCTCCTCTGGCCGATCGCTCTCCTCAGGCAAGCAAGCGTGTTTCTTTTCCCAAACCTTTTGCTATTACCTCCACTTTACCTTCGTCCACCTTCCCTCGTCCATGCCTTCCCTCGTCCATGTCTCCTCCGGCCTCCTCCGGCCATCCTCACTTCCCTCCATCCTCCTCCGTCCATCTCTCTTCCCTCTCAACCATCCACTTCTCCCTCTATTTCTCGCTGATGCATTGTGCGCTCGTCCCATGCTGTCGTGCAGATTGTCTGATTCGAGCAGGCAAGCCCTTGACCATTGATGGCGAGTTTGAGCAATTCTTCTCGCAGCTCCTCCTTTGATCGATGGGAGGATTCTCAGCAGTTCCTGTGCCACAACCGCGCCATGTGCCATAAGATGCCGTGGTCAATTTAGGTGGTGTGCTTGTGTGTGTGTGCGAACCATGTATGGCCGTGGTGTGGTGTGGTGTGATGTGATATGCCCTGCGTGCCTCATTCTTCTATGATGAGGTGTTTTCTTTATATTTTGTCTCGAAGCTTGTTTGTGTCGTGTATAGTTTTGAGAGTATTCAGCCAGCCCATTCCTGGATTATTCCTTATTTGTGTCGAGTATTCAGTTTATTATTCCTGATACGTAGTGTACGTTTTCTTGAAATGAAAATGCTAGAGGTCATTATTGTCCTACATCTAACTATCCTTAGTGGTATCGCAGCATGCTTGTACCGCTAACGGACCGTCGCTGATGAGGCGCTGCGAGCCAGTAACGAACCACGCAACGAGCACATCTAACTATCCTTAGTGGTATCTCAGCATGCTTGTACCGCTAACGAACCGTCGCTGAAGAGGCGCTACCATCCTCCCCAGCACAGCCCCTTGTCTACTACCCCCATTTCCCTCCCAAAAGCTGCACTAGCAAGAAAAAAAGAACCGAAGAAATAATTAGTATCGACAGTATGGAGGGGGACTGAACAGCACGGCCCTCATTTGTCAGGGTCAAGCCACCTCAGCGTGGTCGTATTCACCCGCGTCTTCCTCGTCCGCGCTCGCCTCCTGGTACTGCTGGTACTCGCTCACCAGGTCGTTCATGTTGCTCTCAGCTTCCGTGAATTCCATCTCGTCCATTCCCTCGCCCGTGTACCAATGGAGGAAGGCCTTTCGCCGGAACATGGCCGTGAACTGCTCGCTCACGCGCTTGAACATCTCCTGAATGCTCGTGCTGTTGCCGACGAACGTAGACGACATTGACAGGCCGCGCGGCGGCACGTCGCAGACGGACGATTTCACGTTGTGCGGGATCCACTCGACGAAATACGACGAGTTTTTATTCTGCACGTTTAAGAGCTGTTCGTCCACCTCCTTAGTGCTCATCTTCCCGCGGAACATCGCGGAAGCCGTTAAGTACCGCCCGTGGCGCGGGTCCGCGGCGCACATCATGTTCTTCGCGTCCCACATCTGCTGCGTGAGCTCGGGGACCGTCAGCGCGCGGTACTGCTGCGAGCCGCGCGACGTGAGCGGCGCGAAGCCGACCATGAAGAAGTGGAGGCGCGGGAAGGGGATGAGGTTAACGGCTAGCTTGCGCAGGTCCGAGTTGAGCTGCCCGGGGAAGCGCAGGCAGCACGTGATTCCGCTCATGGTGGCGGAAATGAGATGGTTGAGATCGCCGACTGTAACGGGCGATGGGGTAGCCGGGAGTGGGGAGGGGGAAATGGGGAGAGGAGCGCAAGGTTTCCTGTTTAGACGGGACCGAGAGATGATGTGGCGACAAGGGAAGGTGGGGGAGGGGGGAGCGAGGAAACACACGTGGCGTGACGTGACGCGATGAGTAGCACTCACAGCTGGGGTTGGCGAGCTTGAGCGTGCGGAAGCAGATATCGTAGAGCGCCTCGTTATCCAGCACCATGCACTCCTCGTCCGCGTTCTCGACGAGCTGGCTTTTGCGTGACATCTGGTTTTTCACCCCAAAAAAATCCACTCACAGCTGGGATTGGCGAGCTTGAGCGTGCGGAAGCAGATATCATAAAGCGCCTCGTTATCCAGAACCATGCACTCGTCCGCGTTCTCCACCAGCTGGTGCACGGACAGCGTCGCGTTGTACGGCTCCACGACCGTGTCCGACACCTTGGGCGACGGGAAGACGGAAAACGTCAGCATCATGCGGTCCGGGTACTCCTCGCGAATCTTGGCGATCAGCAGCGTGCCCATCCCCGACCCCGTGCCGCCGCCTAGTGAATGGCAGACCTGGAAACCTGGAGGCGGAAAGGGGTGGAGAGGGGGGGGAGGGAGATTGGGGGGGGAGGAAGAAGAGAAGAGCGCAGTGTGAGCGGGAAAAAAAGCTGAGGGGGAGGGGGGTGTGGTTGGGAAGAAGAGGGCGGGGGGAGGGGGGGAAAGGGGAACGATTGAGGGCGCAAAGCGGGTTGCCGAACTGTGACGCGATACAAATTGCACCGCTTCGTGGCAAGGGCCAGCGCTCGCTCACCTTGCAGACAGTCGCTGTTCTCCGCCTCCTTGCGCACCACGTCCATGACTGAGTCGATCAGCTCCGCGCCCTCCGTGTCTGTTTAGTCCACTCAAAAGTCGCCCTTGGCGCGCGTGACGTGCGCGTGACGTGCGCTCACCTTGCAGGCAGTCGCTGTTCTCCGCCTCCTTGCGCACCACGTCCATGACCGAGTCGCTCAACTCCGCGCCCTCCGTGTCTGTTGAGTCCACTCAAAAGTCGCCCTTGGCGCGCGTGACGTGCGCTCACCTTGCAGGCAGTCGCTGTTCTCCGCCTCCTTGCGCACCACGTCCATGACCGAGTCGATCAGCTCCGCGCCCTCCGTGTAGTGCCCCTTGGCCCAGTTGTTGCCCGCGCCCGTCTGCCCGAACACGAAGTTATCCGGCCGGAAAATCTTGCCGTACGGGCCCACGCGCACGCTGTCGAGCACCCCAGGCTCCAGGTCCTGCGGTGGGGACGGCGGGGAAGCGCGCGGGGAGGAGGGGGGAAGGAGGTGCGCGGGGAAAAAGGGGAGGGGGGAGATGTCGTAAGAGTCTGGCGAGAGGGACGAACGAGTCTGGCTTGCAGTGACAGTTCAGCACACGCAGCGGGTGAGACAGACACAACTGGAAGCGTCAATCCGGCATAAATTGGAAGATTTCCAGAACCTGTGGTACTAGTAACTTCACCCGGCGGCACGTACCAGTAGCACGGCGCGAGGGACGTAACGGCCGTTGCTGGCTTCGTTATAGTAGACATTCACACGTTCCAGCTGCAGCGGCGAGTCGCCCTTGTAGATTCCTCCGGCGTCGACGCCATGCTCGTCGCACACCACTTCCCAGAACTTGGCACCGATCTGGTTGCCGCACTGCCCTCCTTGGATGTGAAGGATCTCTCGCATCGTGAAGTGCCGCGCGCCGAGCTAATATAAGGGGTTCAAAAGGCGCAGCGGTTGTGCTGTGGAAGGAGGACTGGAAGTGGTTTTGGATTGAAGTTCTGGCGGTTCACGAGCTGGGGAGGCGAGAAATTGTTTTTAGAATAGGTGCTATTGAGCAGGCGTTTAACGCTTAAAAATGGTATTGACAGAACAGCGGTGGTCTTATGCGCCAGCTGAATTTGAATTTCACTTGAGGTGGGAGTGGGACAAGCCTAGGAAGTCAAGAATTTGGTGTGGAGTGGAGATTGTTTGCCAAAGAAGCGGGAGTTCGTGCGAAGCGGGGTGAGCCAGTTTGCCAGAGCAGCATAGAAATCGCGCTGTACTTACCAGGGCCTGACGCTTCCATACCCTGTTTTCGTGACGGGCCAAGCACAACCGTCGCGACTTTCGTCATGAGCAGTGTGTCTTCGCGTAAAAGTGGAGGGGGAAAAAATGGGTGCGGCTCGACGGGGTGATGGTTTGGGATGTGACGTGAGCCGAGCCTGCACACCATCAACTGATGGTGGAGCTCGTCGCAAAAAATATGGCTCACGATGGCAGTTGGATGCACCAACCAGCATGCAGGACGAACCTACAGTCCACCCAGCTTTGCGCCTCTTCGAACCGCGCTGCTTTGTTCCACTCCCGCCAAAATCCGTGCTGGAAGGGGGGAACACTGACAGACAAAGCTGAGAGTTGCCACGTGTGCTCAAACACGGCAAATGAAGTTGCGCATTATGCTGCCAGAGTTTTTATCCAGGTGGGAGTAGAAATCGGGTCGATATTAAGGAAAATCATAACGTACTGCTTCTGAACTGGGACACAGTATTTTCAAAGTTTCTTCGTACCTTTTCTCCCACTGAGACTGCATAGTAAAGCACGGGCATTTTGAAGAAACGAAAAATAATCAGAGGAAACGGAAACATTGAAAGGGGAGAAACAGCGTCAAAAGAGATGAAATATCTCAGCGATGTTATGCTCCTGCCTCAGCCACGACGACTCGATGCAAGCTACACTGCTTATAATATGCTGCAATAACTGTAGCTTGATGATTGTTGAGAAAATGTAATGAAAAGTGTTCAAAGAAAAAACGGCCCAGATGTTCAAAAGGGCGACCGTAGAGCACATCTGCACGCACCTTCTAACCAAAAGTAAGAGGTACCCACACAGTAGGATGTAGAAGCACCCGTAACAATAACATGATGCGTTTAGTGGTGTTTCCATCCAAGGGACGATCACAATAAATCTCATTGCCCAAGCTAATATACGCGAAGACAATCAATGCCCTAGATTCTGTCTCATCCTTGTACTCTGCTCATCGGTTGTACATAACAACTGGAGGCGAGTGACTGACTGATACAGCTGTATTTCCAAAGTCTATCACCTAAGCCAGCAGCCAAAGGAACTAGGTATGGTACATCACACCCAGCTGACTACCGTATGTCTACATTTTAATTGCAACACTCCCCCTTCCCCCCCTCCAAAAAATAACAGATTACCTCAGCTCAACTCATCTCTTCTCCTCACTTGACTCACCCACCTCCACCTTCCACTCCCTCCCCTCTCCCTCTGCCAGCCCCACCAGAAACCCTCCGCCTGCGCACAACCCTCACGCCATGCCGCACGAGCCACGGGTCATCGAGCACATCACACGCAGCAGCCCTATCCCCAGGGCTCAGAACAAGCAGGCGCAGCAGCAGCCTCTTGGCATCGTTCCCCACATCATGCCACGGGTCCTCCTCCAAATCAACCTCCCCTTGGGTGATCAGCTGTGCTAGCTCGGCGTCGGTCTGCGCAAGGAAGGGCAGGCGGCCTGACAGCAGTGCGTACAGGACCACACCCAAGCTCCACGCGTCAGCCTTGTGCGGCTGGAACTGGGCTTGCCACTGACGCTGCTGCTGCTGCTGCTGCTGCTCCTGCTGCTGCTGATCCTGCTGTTGCTGGTGATGATGC